AAATGGCTTCAAAACTCGGGATACTATACATATCATCTGGATTATTTACAAGAAGATTTCTTCCCTGTACAACTTTCTTGTAGAATCGACTGCCACTTCTATTTTGATATTATCTATTTTTCCGGACCGATACAATTTTGGAATCTCCGAAAAAAAGAACCTTCTTTTTTTTAAAAAGCTGACACCTGCGATTTCCTGGTGGTGCATCTATTCATGGGTAGCGGTCAATATTTATCATCAAGTGAGTCGCATGCTCGCTTGGCCCTTCTTCTATAAAAAAAGGTCGCGGGATAAACAAAATGTGGCTTAAATTACTACGTAAGCTATTAATCTAAGACCAATATCAAAACCTTAATAGTCTGTGATCAAACAGTTGCACAGAGTAGATATTGTTGCCAAAGATTTTTAAAGTGTTGCCAGCAAATAATTACTGACAGATTGACCGAATGTACTGGGAATTTTGTGTGCTTTTAAATTTAATTTTTTCAATAGTCTGCGGATGTACGTCAAGGCAAAAATGCGAGTATTTTATATTTTGCAAATAAAGATATTTGTGCTTTATATATACATTTTGAATGCGGAGTGTAATGCATGCAAAATATTATTTAGCTTGCTTAATATATCAACTTAAAAATTCAATAAGGTTCAAGTATACTTTTATTATATTTCATAACTATCAAGACTATAAATATTATAAATTAGAAAATGTTTGCAACATCATAGAGATGCTTAGATTATCTTAAACACAATTCTGCCAACAAGAATTCTCTTCTAGGGAAATGAAATATTCATTTGCTTAGCTAAGTTTCAGATAACGTATCTTTGATATGTCTTTGATATCTTTCCGCACCATGAACGACATTAGTTACAACAGACAGGAGTTATTTTATACCATGACGGAGATATAAAATGTATTCACTGCGTTTTCTTTGTATTTTGTGGCTCAGAAATCTTAATATTTCATATAAAAATCATATATTGCGTAACAAAACATACTACCATGTATGTTACTTATACTATTAACTAGGTTGTAGGACTCTTTCTATGTCTAGGAGCTCATTTGGTTAGGTACAACCTTCTTACCTGTTTTTGCCACCAAATAGCAGTGCTTACATTGCTGTGTTGCTTATAGGGAGCCAGTATTATTACAGACTGCATTAATGTTGCCACGTTTAGAAAATTCACCAATAATATAGGATCCATACTTAACCTCTCAATCTCCTAGCGTTCTCACGATACCGCGGCCATATTCCGTCAAATTACTAGCGGTCACATGAGGTCGCACCCCCCCCCCACATCACTTTAACCCATAAAAACTTATACATAGAGACTACTTTTCTATGAAGAAGTTTGGCATTATATAATCAATATGAAATACTCTATTCTCTAGTGAAATAAAAAACTGTTATCCTCCTGAATATTTATTTATAATCTCCGTTTATTTCGTACGACATTTTCGTGTGAATGTTATTGTGTTGATTTTTGGATTTTTCTAGTGTTTTATCAGTGTTTTAGTATAGTGTTTTATCATAAAATTGTAGTGAAAGTTTTTGTGTGAATATAGTTTATCTTTTTACGTAAATAATTTCAAGTAATATATATTGAAATAATTGTGACTTTCACGCTGCCGACATTCGCTTGGTATGTTTTTTTTTTTGTTATCAAAATACAATAAAATCTTTTAATAATGAAGTAAAACATGACTTTTGTTCAGATCACAAGATAGAGAATTTGGTATAGATTTCATAATGCTAAACTTCTTCATCGAAAAGTCGTCTCTAAAAATAAGATTTAATTGTTTTCAGTGCCGTGGGTGGGTGCGTACGCAAGACCGCTCGGGATTTTCGCTTGCAGGGTTAAATTCTCATTGCTCTTACGCAGAAGGGTAGTCAGACACTACAGACTTCCATTCGGTACGATCATAAAATAACACTGTCGTTTCTTTTACATACATATAAGTACGCAAACATGCTGTCAGTGATGATAATATTAATTTGGCACATATTTAATTTCGGCAATTGGTTGATAAACATACCAATCATAAGATGGTGAAAATTGTATTATTTTTAAAAAATCCCGTTGTGCTCCCACTGCTGTATTTCGTTTGAAGTATAAATGCCAGTATAAGTTAAGATTTTGAGATTTTTTTTCTTAACACTTCATCATCACTCTAATCATTATGGACTAAAATGATTCAACTGCTGAACATAGGCCTCTCCTAAATATTGCCATAAAACAAGTTTTTGGAAAACTTACATTCATGCAAAATAATATATTATAATAATACAAAATAATATCTTATACTAACTACTCACTATTTATTTACTATTTTTAAGTAAATCTTAGTTTTAATATTTACAATTTAATCACTGAGTTACTACTGGCTCGACAGTAAAGAAATTCATCGTGATAAAAATTGTATTTCTGAGAAGATAAAATAATTTATATAAGTGCATACCGGAAAAATATATTGGGGTAGTAAGATGCATTGCTCTAAAACTCCGTCAGAAATTAGAGGAGGCCTGTGTCTGGCCTGTAGGATATATATAGGATATTTAGTTTTACTTTACTATAGGGGTGTGACAATGTGGTGCTAATAAATATATCTGCTTTTAAATAAATAGATAAATAAGTACTCACTGCTGTGCTCCAAATCGAATGTTAAAAGCGCCAGTATAATTATAATTAAGCATCCGACTCCAGCCCTTAGGGAATAAAGTGCACCTGCCGCCTTTAGTTATAGTCGTTTCCGAGAGACATTTAAGGTGAGCTGGGATTATTATCTCGATTTTCACTTTAATTACGGGAAAAACAAATGTTTAATTGTAATGAAATTTTGAATTATTTATATTTTTTTAATGTGTGTGTAATTTTTTACACAGATACGAAGTAAAACCTCTTTACGTCGTATTCTTCCTTAATTTTATATTTTACAATAGTATGTTAAATAATAGCATACTTATGCAGCCCCGAAGGTAATACGTAACAATAAAATGTGACGTTTAACACCTTAATACATTTTCTTGGTACATCGGCATCTTTGTCTACTGTACAAATTTGTCTTTACAAAATCGAAAAACTATAGACGAAATAACGAAAGCAATGAAAGGCATGAAAGCATGACGTGCTTAGACATGGAGAAGGAGTGGTGGTAGGCCTGCAGTAGACCTTGTTTAGTTTATGTCAGAAACTGAAGCGGGTACCGGAAGAATGGTGCAAAGCTGTTATAGTTCCAATAAAACGGGAAATGTTCACAGCAGAACGGTAAAAACTACGGTGGTACCAGCCTGCTTAGCATTGTGGGTAAACTGTATTCTAAAGTGTTAATTTAAAAAGTTGACAGAAACTGATGGTAAAATTTGGGATGTAATTTTGGATGGAAATTTAGATTCAAAAAGGTAATGAAGTGTATAATATAGCTTTATCATGGCACTACCACGTTTAATACTTGAATCCCACGTAAAACTTAAATATATCCGATCAAAAATAGGAACACGATTCGCACTTCTGTATATAATATAATAAAAATGTTTATTTTTGGGTGTCTGTACAAAGTTTATTTTTATGAAAAAAAATATTGAGAGGGTCTAAAAATAACAAATTAAAAAAATCTTTAAAAATACCTGTCATATTTGTAACATAAGCATTATTCTTTATCACATCGATGTATCCCACCTTTCTTATGAAGTATATTGTCTGTGTTATAGATGTGTTTTTAAATTTTAATTTTTTTTTTAACCTTTATAAATGGGAACCTGTGATTATAACAGTTAAGTTTAATTTACTCCACCCATGATTCTTTCGTGTACTGAAAATTATATCGTTATAGTCACCGTTATGTGATCTCTACAATATTTGTGCCGAATAGATGCTTTTTCAGTTCCTGAATTATTTTGTATTATGTAAACTTATATGTATATTTGGAACTAAAATATATTATTATTAATATAGATATTAAATCTCAATACTTGTTAAAAGCGATTCACAAACAAGCAATTTAATTGAGTACTTCATTCAGCCTAATGGGTTTTAGCAGAATTTTACATGACCGCCGCAGGCAATTAAGTGTTTCATTCCGGTGGTAATTTATATTAATATTTATGAACTATATAATATATTTAGTTAGATACACATTTGATATTTTTATTTTATAATTTTGAGAATAGTCTTTTCTAATCTAGTAGAAGCCGTGGTCTCTAAATCATTGTATAATAACTTGCTATTAGTAATAATTGCACCAAACAAAAAGTTGATAACACGACCATACAATTTTTTACAATCTCTGACTAAATTTATCTAAGGTATTTAAGGTCTCGCAAATGCTAAAAATATTTTAATCATTAACCCTTACAAGCTTATAACTATTCTAAGATAGTAAAAATGATATTTTTTATTTATGTCTATTTATTTTGATCTAATTTAATTAAAAACGTATAAATAAAACCATATTTATATATATTTCCATGTTTTTGAGAAGGGGACATAAGTGTCCCAATATGCGTTAAGGTACATTTTTCTTATGTACGGACAAAAAATACTAGAATGATTTTATTGTGAAATAAACACAAACTATGATATAAAGTACAAATTATTTATTGTAGAAATTATTTATAAAACAAAAATAAAACTTAGTGGTACTCTACAAAGCAGTTGCGGTCTGTGTTATTTGTGCGATTCTCTATAACGGCTTTTAGCACACTGTACGCATCTTTTTCTGTTACTTACTTTTACCATTACGTGTAAAGGTGTACCGCGCTTCTATGTATAAGAAATTCGCTTTTTCGTCATAACAACTGACGACAAAGATCTTTGTCGAGACGAAAAGCTACCAATAAGTGACCGAGCTACTACTTGGCGAAATTCTAGGCTCGTAAGCAGTTCCTTCAATAAGTTTTGCTTCATGCAGCTTGCAATAAATCACATATGAATTATTCATCGCAATATCTAGTAAGTCAAAAAACAACCTTAGGTAGCATTTTATTTTTGCTTTTCGATCCACTTCAGAGTATACTTTTTTCTGGTCCATCAGATCGACCTCCTCCCATATGTTTATTATATTTTATTATAGCTTCAGGGCAAATTACATTCACCTTTTCAGCACTACCAGAAACACGCTTCTTGACTATCGTCGTAGGTATGGATGATAAAAAATTTGTTAGCAGAAACACGGCTTTGTTATCCATCCATTTTATGAAAGATATTCCATTGCTGCTGGCTGCAAAAATATCTCCACGATACATATTTTTATCTGTTGGCATATTTTTCGGTACATTTTTCCTGTTTGAGCGCACTGTTCCACACGCTTTTATATTCTTATTCATCAGTGTATACTGAAGATTAGGATAATTGAAAAAATTATCAAAGTATATTTCACACCCTATGCCCTGTGAGCTTTCAGACAATTGCAAGACAACCGATTCACCCAATCCCGTTTCAGTGCCACCTCTTTTCTGCCCAGTATACAAATCAAACTGAAATAAATAGCCAGTGGAAGAACATGCCCTACACCACATCTTGAACCCCCATTTTATTGGTTTATTTTTTACGTATTGCCTCATTATGTTATGCCCCTTGAACTTGATCATGTTTTCGTCTATTGCCTGGGTTTTGGTGTTAGCGATAGCTCTTTGAAAAGCATGGTTGAAATGATCTATAACAGGTCGTATTTTGAATGCTCTATCATAAGACGGATCGGTTCTATTAGGTTCATTAGAATTGTCACTAAAATGCAAGTTCCTACGTATTTCTTCAAAGCGGTTTATAGGCATCACATTAGCAATGTAAGGAACTCCCATGTCAGGATCTGTAGACAAATAGCTCCTGAATGTAGGTAAACAATGATACCCCATCACAAAGTTCATGCCGAAGAAAGCTTTGGCTTCTTCATCAGTCAACGTAAAAGATCTTCCATTTTGATGAGCGTAGCGTATGGATTCACGAACAATAATCTCCTCTACTAATTTTTCGAAGCCTGTAGCCGCATTGAAAATTTTTACAGGAGTCAGTTCCGTATCAGAAGTTTGATCAAAAATGTGCACCTCGCCGAAGTTATACCCTTCCATTTCACAAAAATTATGCGGAGAATATGAATTTTTTCGCCAGTTGAAATAAAGGACATTATAACTAGGCTGTTGATTTTCAATAATATTCTCTTCTGGAGATGCTGACCCCGGTTCAATTTCGACAGTTGAAATACCCGTGTCTATATCTTGCTCTAAAAAATTTTGATCCTCTTCATCAAGGACTAAACCCTCCTCATCATCGCTGTAGTCAGCCATCAAGAATTCTATAATTTCGTCTTGCCGCAATGAAAACTCTCTACGTCGATTGGAAGACATGGTCTGTAACCAAATAGAATATACAAAATAAGAATAATAAACAAAACAAAACAGTATAGCAAAAAATATTACCCGCTTGAAGCTAGCCTCCCTTGATGCATATAGGGACACCCGCGTCCCTTTACATTTTTTACATAGTACGCCTTATTTTTACAAAGAAAACCAAAAATATGTACCAAAACAGTAATTATACTAACCAGTGAATATAATTCTGAGAAGAAACTGTGGTAAAAAGTAGATATTTAATAAAAAAATATTTTTTAATGTTCACGTCCTTCTGACAAATATGTCACTTTTCGCGGCATTAACTTTTTTGACAGATGTCTTTACTTAGTGTTGCCAGCGCGCAAACGCGAAAAGGTGCTATAAAATTTAATAATACAAATTTAAAAAAGGTTTAACTCGGCCAGTATTAATGTAAATCGTAAAAATTAAGTGGGGACAAATGTATCCCATATGCGTGAAAGAGTTAAACTGTCACTCGTAGAATTTCACGTGAGAAGTGAAATTTCTTAACTTCACTAACTGGGAAACATAATTTTCGGGTTGTTAAGAAATATTTTGAAGCAATTGTCAGCAAGTATTTTTATTTAAAAAATGTATCACCGTATTAATATAGTAATTAAATTTTAAATTACGCTGTTTTTTGTGATAATAAAATGAGTATTATCTATATACAAACAAACAAATATATACAAACAAATTTATAACTATAAGTATGTCAATTTTGTAAAATAGAATCAAACGAATTTTCAACATTACTTTCATAAATTTTATGTATATGACCGCGACGGTCACGCGAGTTCAGTGCTGTTTCTCTATCCCAAAAGTTTCTAACGTACCCAAAAAAGTTTTCACTTCAATAAATATGATATATAATAAAACGGGGAAGGACCACGGTCTCACAGAATACCAGCGTGAAATAGTAGCTTAACGCTGCTGTGTTTCGTATGGTGAGTGTAGATACCGAAGACCCTATTTACTGAAAACGAGGCATTCCATCTTAGTCCTCACGGGTGACAACGCATCTGCATTTTGATTAGTAATCGAGGATAGATGTACGAGTAGATGTCTATGGGCCGCAGCAACTACTTACCATCAGGTGGACTGTGTGCTCGTTTGTCACCCTATACTAAAAATAAAATAAATAAAAATTAGCTAAGGGGCTAAACGCTCGCGAAAAATTTCCAGTATCCGAGCTACATAGGTTCGATCCTACCGGCACAAATGAAATTTTTAATAATTAATTTAATTTATTTTAAGTACATATGCAGTCATGTTATGTCCAGTAATATGCATTGAGGAAGCGCGGCAGACATTTCCATTCCCTAAATCTCTGTCAGAAATAATAGAAGGCCTCTGCCCAGTAGTGAGACGAATATAGACTTTACTTTTTTATTTTCATTTATTTATATACACTTTTATGAACCAAAATAATACATATGGCGGACTTAAAGACTTAAAGCGTTCTCTCCCAGTCAACCATTATTTGTACTCATTTTTTTTTATTTGGTTCGTAGGATTTTTTCTCTATAATGCAAGTAGACTGCAAATCTAGGCTAAGCTGCTGCGCCAATGAGCTATCGCATAAAAAGGAAATCTACCTTTTTTTGCAAACAAAAATATGTTGTTTTTTATTTGTTTTATCATAATAGAGATAAAGGCTTAAACTTAGTTGCAGCCTCCTTTTAAGCCCTACTTGAGATACCAGAAGTATGTAGAGAGACTCTGCTAAAACTAGCCTTTGTATATATATATATATATATATATATATATATAATTTATAGTAAATGTGTAAACGAACATATTTATTTTGAATATGTTCATATACACATGTAGTGCATTACCTAGAAGTTTTATATTTCATGCGCGAGTCCCGTGTGACTCTGCTGCGCAAGCGCGTTTAGCATAAGTTAGATTTTATAAGAAATGATTGTATTTGGGACTCAATAAACGACCGACGTACGGTGAAGACGTATCTTTTCTTTTCCCCACGCGTACCATGCCTCATGGCGACCCTGCCAGGATGCTAACAAAGAAATTACCCACTAAGTGAAAAACCAGTGCAAAAAAAAACCAAATTCGGAAGAAAGAAGAAAACCTTATAGAAGAACGAAGAAAACCTTACAGAAGAATGAAGAAAACCATATAGAAGAAAGAAGCACAAATTCTGAAGAAAGAAAAAAGAAGCGCCCTATTTTGAAGAAAACAAAAAAAACCAAGAAGAAACGCCAGAAATCCAAAGAGAAATAAAGGTACGAAATGGGAAAATCGCAGTCGAAAGAAGTAGTCATAGCACAAAACGCAAATGGTGCAGCATCCGCAAATACAAGACTAGAAGACGCTCACACAAACCACATCATACAAACCCTCATGATTGTATCCGTGGTTATACTGGCTGCAGCAGTTATCTATTACCTGATGAAAAAATGCAGGAAGAGTGCCGTGAAAACTCTGAGGCGAGAACTCAACGCAATCTCGCTTGAAAACATCGCCCGCCCTACAACTAACTAGAAGATCTCAAGAGGTGTCCAGTGTAATACCCGGCCCAACATCAAGAGGTGTCCAGGGTAATACCCGGCCCGATTCAAGAAGATGACCTCATGCAGCCACACATCCTGTTTGCAGTGCTGTTCCCGCTTGCTCGCGCCGCCCTAAAAATGGTTACATCCACAAACACCATCGCCCCGCCCTTGTAATTAGTATGTACGTGATATTTTAACAAGTAAGTGAAATTATAATTTTTAAGTGTTTTTACATAGTGTGTAAATAATAGTTTCCTTTTCCTTTACTGTTAGAAATTATATTTGTCGATTTTTCCAATGTCACTAGCTGAACTAAATAATGTGTACAGTAGTTTAAAAGAAATTAGAGATTATCTAGTGAAAATCGGACCAAAACGTAGAGAGAGTTCCGATACAGCAAAAAGAAAAAGTTAGTGAAGCGAAAAATCTGTACAGTCGTTTGGAGTATATTTCGTCTAAAATCAAACTAAAAATAGAGAATTCTGAGATAAGTAGCGATGATTTTCAGGTTATTAATAGATGCATAGACGACATACATATCTTGTACAGTAATATTTTAAATTTAATGTCTCATGAATCAGAAAGTTCCAATAACTCAGCCAGCATGGGCGCCTTTGATTTAAAAACGGCAATAGCCCTATTGCCAATAATGACAGGCCACGAAAATATTACTACTCAACTGATAGGTAGTATTGTGATGTATAGTGATATGCTTAACGAAAATGGCAAAAAACAATTAATTGATTTCGTTTTGAAAACTAGACTGACCCCTAGCGCCAAGCTGAGGTTAAAATCTAGCTACGAGTCCGTGAGTAGTTTGGTTTTAGATATGCGCACTCACTTAATTCAGAAGAAATCCGCGGTAGCATTGCAATCGCAGCTTAATAGCGCAAGCCAAGGCCGTAGATCTATTGATATGTTCGGCTCTGAGTTAGAACAGTTGTTCGTCAACTTGACTATAGCACAGGCTAACGGTGATGACAAAAAATACGAAACACTTCGTCCTTTGAACGAGAAAATTGCGATTAAGCGTTTCGCAGACGGATTATCAGATTCGCGTTTGAGCATTATCATAGCCTCCCGACAATTCCAGTCTCTTCCAGAAGCGATTCAAAAGGCGCGGGACGAGAGCACATCATCAGCTCGTAACGAGCATGTGTTGAACATTTACAATAACGCTCGCTCAAATACTAATTATAACCATCAGAGAGCGCAAAGCGGATCGAATTCCAGGACATTTTACAGGGGTAACTCTCGAGGGCTCAATCGTGGTAGGTACCAACGGGGTACTTCGCGAGGCCGAAGTCGGTACAACCCATCTCGCCCAAATGTAAACGCCCGCGTTTCTCAGTTACAATCGGAGCACATTGAGAGCGTGGAACGCACTCAATCTGCACCGAATAGTGAGTTTTTTCGCCCCTACAATTAGTGATCATTTCGTTTGTAATTATAGCATAAACAATGTAGTAGATTTAAATGTAAGTAATAATAGCAAGGTAAGTCTTTTAGTAGGTACGGGCGCGAGCATTTGTGTTATGAAATATGAGTGGCTCCTCGATAACCAGGAGTATTTGAATGAGTTACATTATGATAAAATAACAATTAAGGGCGTTAGTGGTAAATTAATTTCAGACGGTTATATTTACTTAGATTTAGTTTGTAATGGCATAACTTTTTAGAGAGAAATTTTACGTTTTTAAGAATCTCTCTTGTTTTGCTAACGGTATATTGGGCGATAATTTTTTTAAGCGTTATAATGCGATAATCAACTACGAAACACGAACCTTACAGTTATCGAATCAGGGTTCTGTAGTTTGTCTTAATATGGGTAGATGGAGTGATAGGTATAGACACGTCATACCCGCCCGTTGCGAAGTTATCAAACATATTCCTTGCACTTTAAGCGAAGATAGCGTTATTTTAGCTCAAGAAATCGAGGAAAGGATTTTTATCGCAGGAATGTTAGCTAAACCATTAAATAAAAGTATTCCTATTAGAGTGTTGAATACGAGAAATGAGGATATTGAGATAGATTTTTCAAAGGTCAATGTCCATTCCATTAGTAACTTCGAGGTATGCCACCTCGAAAGCGAAGAAAAAACTGTTGAGCGAATAAAAACTTTATTCGATTTACTTGATTTGAGTTATTTAAATAGGGAAGAAAGGCTCAGTATTGAACAAATCTGTGCCAAATACGCAGATGTTTTCCATTTACCAGGTGATTCGTTATCAGTTACGAACTTAATGGAACATAGCATAGTTTTGACCCCAGTTTATTCTAAGCCTTATAGGGTTCCTCAGGCGTTAAAAGGTGAGATAGAAAAACAAGTTCAGGAAATGTTAAAAAACGAAATCATTGAGGAAACCGTTTCGGAATGGTCTAGCCCAGTACTTTTAGTACCCAAAAAGGTCGATAAAAATAAAGAAAGAAAATGGAGATTGGTCATAGATTACAGGAAATTAAACGATCGAATT